GACGACGACGACGACGACGACGACGACAACCGAATACGCGCGTAAACGGCTTTTGACGTGCGGTTAGTGGCACGAGCACGCGCATGAAGATATTCGACAGGAGCTAACATAAAACATGATAATAGCGTAGGTGACACCGAACCGTTATTGGCGGAAAAACGTCGCTTTCGTCTCTTCTGATGAAAGTAAAACGAGAAATTATTAAAATGACGTGACGCGAACGATGCGATACATTACGCGCGATTACGTACTCGCGGAATTAGATATGCATAGATTCTTTTTATAACAATGAAAGAAAAAACTTTCGCGTATCCAGTACAAAACTATTAGTACAGAGAAATACAGGCATGGATTTGATACACGAGTACGCGTAGAGATCGATATGGATTTACGTTTAACGTTTTCTAGAATGAGACATTCAGATTTTACAACAACTTTTAAGAGGCACGGTTCAATAACGTTTATCGATATGCATTTGGCTGCGAGTATTATTAGCCTGTTATCAGTTATATGTAAGGCACATTAATGTTACACTGTTATCAAATATCGCGATTCAAACGATAACCTTCATCATACAATTTATTGATTGGAATTAATTCTATCGTATTTTTTTCTAGTACATACTTTTATTACACAAACACATAAAATTTAGAAAATTCAAGTATTCTTCACATCTACTTTCACTGACTTTATAATAATTTTACAATTCGATGCATTAGCGACTAGTGCATAATAACCCTAGCTATACACATTCTTTTTGTTACACTTGATATCCCTGAGTCCCTGGGACCCATTCATATTTGTTACCGTAAAAATGGACATATTTCAATTAATTTTTTTTCAATCGATAGAAAATTGATTAAGGAATAAGTCCATGATGTGTAAAAGTCGATAGCATTAAGGAGCTTCGAGACATATAGGTTGAAAGAAAAAGAAAAGTTCAGAAACACGACAAAATCTCGATTTAGCAAATTACACTGGAGTTTCTGAGACCCCAGTGTGTATGGCTAGAGTTAAAACTGATGTATCATTAAATTAATTTGAATGTAAAAATAAAATGTAAATACTTCGAATTGTAAAATACATATTTTACTTAACAGTACAATAAAATGTATTGAGAATTTCACGATTTAACCGGTTTCTAGATTTATATTAAACACACATCTTTACATCAATTCGTGTACGACGGTTTTAATATCCATCAGTGTGCATTGAGTGCATTCAATCGAATTCAATTTAGGTTTTTCTAACTGTGCGTATGCACATAAAACAATGTTTTTATTACAGACAACCGTCGATAAAATCCTCTCGCGAGATGTTATCTACATAACAAGTTAAATCTATATTCGTTTCTTGTGTGATTTAATGAATTGGTTCAATTTTGAGAAACTTTTTGTTTACATCTAAATATATGTTGGCATTATACCAATTTTGCTTAATAACTTGGTATTATTAGCTACCGTTCGCTATTTATTTACCTGATAAGAGAGAGATATTTATTTTTACTTTATTCGTTTATTACGCGGTTTAATTTTATGTTGTATCTTTATTCGTTTTTTCCTTTTTATTGATTTTTATTTTTATTTTTGATTTCACACACGATGTTATAATCCTTCGCTTTCGACTGATTAAACTCAGTATAGTAGAAACATATATTATTATTTTCTTTCAAGAGCAAATACATTATTAAATAATTATATAAAAGAGGGCTACGAGCCTAAACAAATACTTTTAATATAAATAATTCAATCATACAAACACAAACAAACGTTTCGTACCCGATCGGGTCATTTTCAATTATGTTGTAACAAAAGTCGGTTATGAATTTTTTTAGCAATATTAAAATATGTAAAAATAAAATATAAATTGAGATCTGAGTGTTCAATTTATTTTGAATGTTCATTTTATTTTTACATAATTTAATATTGCTAAGAAAATTCTTAACCGACTTTTGCCATAACATTGAAAATGACCCGATCGGGTACGAAACATTTGTTTGTGTTTGTATGATTGAATTATTTATATTAAAAGTATTTGTTTAGGTTCGTAGCCCTCTTTTATGTTATTATTTATTTTTATTGAGTCTTTTGACATTTTTTGATTTAAATATGTACATTATGTTCATGTATTTTTAAATGCTCGTTGTTTAGCCCAAATATTTCCTTTTATTGCTTTGCAAGAATCGAGCACTTTGAGTTTATTGACTAGATACGTAAATACTTTGGTAAACTTGTTCAACATCTTTTGCTATTAAAAATAAAATTTCTCCACAAAGAGATGTCGCAACTCGAAAAAAAATTTGTCTTCTCTTCCTTTCGTATTTTCTCGGAGATCGCTTTTCAATGACACCACAATACATAATTATCGCAGACGTTTCTCAAATTATGTATTGTAGATGGCATCGAATAACGTTTATCACTAGCATATTGGCAATATAAAACACTAAAAATGCGATGCCGCAAATATTCTTCGCGTGTCTGTCTCGATGAAAGTACTTACACAAATGATTTTTATTAAATTGCTTCTAGTTCGATCACTGTTGTTTCTTTCTCTCTCTGTCATTATAATCTCATTATAATATAATTATCACATATTTTTAATATGGAAATTTCTTTTAGTTTATTGGAAATTATCTCTTTATCAGTTCATATTTCCATACTGGAAAATAGATATGCGCCAAGCAAACGAACATACAGCGAATGTAAACAAAATGTTTGTTGACATCCTGTTCCCTCACGTGGCAGAACGTTAGAGAAAATTTCAAACGAAATTACCTTCGATTTGTTTCGTTACTCGACCGTTCACTTAGGTAATAATCCGTAATAATCGTTCGATAAGTAGAAAAGGACTCACCTTCGAGCTTCATGCCGACCTCGAGGCACTTCTGAAAGCGGCAGTAGGGACACCGTTTCCGCTGCGTCTTGTCGATGTGACAGGACCTCTCAGCGACGCACGTGTAGACCTTCTTATTCTGGACGGTGCGCTTGAAGAATCCTTTACAGGACTCACAGGTGAGTAAACCGTAGTGATAACCGGACACCTTGTCGCCGCACACGGGGCACAGTTCCTCGATGATGATATCCTTAGTGTCCGGGAAATCGGACGGGCAGGGTATCGAACCGGTGACGATGCCGACCTGGCCCAGTCCAGGGTGGCACAAGGTTCCGCCGCCGGTCTGGACCGTACCGGCGGCGACGTTGCCACTTCCCGTGGCAGTGGCCGGTCCGCCGCTGACCGTGGCGTTAGCCGCGCCTGGACCACCACCTCCGGCGGTGCCGCCGCCGTTACCTTCTAGACTGGTGGATGTACCGCCGCAGGCTCCGTTACCGCTTCCGGCTCCTGTTGGCGGGAACAGACACGTATACACCTTCTTGTTGGCGCAGATCTCGAGCGCCGAGGACGCGCCACAGTTACCACCGCCGCCGCCGCCACCGCCACCGCCGCCACCGCCGCCGCCACTACCTCCGTTACCACTATTCCCGCCACCGCCGTTGCCACCGCCGCCGTTACTCCCCGTTTGAGGGAAAAGACACGTGTAGACCTTTTTATTGCTACACGGTGAACCGTTGCGCTTGAAGAAATTCTTACAGTTCTCACACGTGAGCAGACCTTGCAGACCAAGCTGATAGTTGGATATGTTCTTATGACCGCACATGGGGCACCGAAGATCCTCGAGAGGGGCGGAATCGAAGAAGGCGGCCTCGAAACTGGACATACCCTGCGACTGTGCCGCCTGATTGTGAACGGACATTTGTTGCTGTTGTTGCTGCTGCTGCGATTGGGACTGCGGCTGATGGCACATGGGCGATGGCGAGCTCTGCGCGCAACTGCTATAAGCCGACGAGCCGTAATGCGGCTGCGGCTGTTGCTGCGGGGGCTGCTGCCCGGCGGCTTGCGGGCTGCCCTGCGGACTCAGGTGGAACGGCGACATGCTCAGGGATATCAGGCCCGAATGCTGCTCCATCTCCAATAACATATCACCCATGCGCGAGAAGCACCGCACGACGGACGGACGTGCTCACGTATCGGCACATATATCAAACGGGGCTATTTAAGCCAAGCCCGCCCCTCCCCCCCCTCTCTCTCTCTCAGATGCGGCCGACGCGACGATACAAAACGTTCCTTTTGATTAGTTCGTCTTTTCTCTCTCTTCTCCTTTCTCAACGTTTCTCTTCTTCAAATCTTTTTATCGAATTTCTCGGCACGTTGCGAGTTATCGCCGTGCCGCTGATCAAGCTGATTTTCTTCGGGATTTTAATAAATTACATCTGGGTGTACAACTGGATATATTTGCGTCTATCTGTTCCGTTCAGTTCGTCATGTTCGCGAGACATCGCTCCCGATCCGTGATTGGCGATCGCGTGATCTCCAGCGAGAGAACAACGCACCCCGGTTGTCTAATGTTTCGCAAAAAGTAACCTGGAGCACCCGTTGACGTCGTCCTCGACGACGGTAACGATGACGTCGACGTCAACAAAGAAAACGCCGGCACAATTCGTGGTAAAGAGGAACAGAGTTCCTCCGGGTGTACGGAAAGAGGGAACACACACTCGACTTTGGTTCCCTGTGGCACGAATAAGAATATCGATCACAAGCACGCTCTCTTTCTCTCTCTCTCACACACACGCACGCACGCACGCACACACGCACGCACACACACACGCACACGCACACACACACGCACACACACACGGATTACACACGTTCACCGAGTAAAACCATCGCGCACCAACAAACGTTATACGCGGATACACAAAGTTGTCAAGTCGGAGTCGACGGGACTACGTCCGAGGCATGATAATAATCGTCGAATGTATCCGCGTGAACATTCGCCACTGTCGAAACGGATCCAGTCGAGCGGCAAACACCCCAAGGTACCCCCTTTCAAGCCGTCGTTTCCTCTCCTGTCCGCACTGTAATCCAACTTATCGCTGAGCACGATGCGAACGACGAGACCAGCGTTGTTGTACGGCGATGACGAATACGTCCATCCGCGTACACCACGTCCGGCGTGCACCACGGATGATGGCAGACGGACGGAAACACATGCGGCAGCGATGACACGAGGAATCCGCGAGTATACGAACGCACGACTGTCAACAAACACGGCGGGTCTACGTGCGACGTAATCGCGATTGTATTATCGCGAACGGAGGAAGGCGCGGAAGAGAGCGCGAACACAAACCCGCACTAATTCGGATGACTAATGTATACCGGCGAGCGAGCGAACGAGCGAACGAGCGATCGAGCGAGTGATCAACGAGAGACTCTAGTCGACTTCGGAGCCGACCGGAGTGACTTGACAGCTCGCCTATCTGCGTACGACTAGTTGTCCTCTCGGCTCGTTGCTTTCCCGAAGGGCCCGCCCCCTCCCCTCCGCTGCCCTATCGTCGGCACATGGAGTAGGTAGGTAGAGACCGCCGGGGAGGCCGCCTTTGCGAGACACACACGGCATACGTGACGTATCGCCGCGAGCGCGCGGTGGTAACAACGTCGTCAACGACGACGACGACGATGAGGACGACCCACGACGGCCTACGTCGTTCCCCCGTGGCGCGTCGTCCGGGTATGCCGGATCGCAGATGACGATTGCTGCTGCTGTCAGTATTCTTACGTCACAATCACTCTCATCTCACGATAACGCACGGCCGATTACACGTTACTGTCAGCGGGCGCACTTCCGAAAACTGTAGCGACGTTCATTGACGCGTGATGAGAAGAAGAACGTCGTTTGGCAGAAGGAGGACGAAGATGATGTCAACGGGCGAGCAGCACACGGACACGGCACGGACGCGGTCGGAAAATTGAACGAAACTGTGCCACGGAGAGCGGTGCCGAGGCGCGCACTACTGTCAGGCTCCTTCAGCGTTTCGGTGGGTATAGAGGAGAGAAGGCGCGCGTGTCCCTTTACCGACGGGCAGCGAGACGCCGAGAGGCGACGAGGAGGAAACGAGAGAGAGAGTTAACGACGCGAGCGGAGCGAGCGAGACGCGGGCGCGGAGTATAACCAACACAGCGCACGGCATAAGTGAAAGTGATTCAGCAGCGCATGCCACCGCGCGCGGCCAGGTATCCGACGCGGTGTGGAGGTGCCGCCTGAGAGGTCCGACCGGCGCGGGCGCGGCAGAGAGAGGGGCGAGTAGCACGCGGTCGCGCGGCAGAGAGACGGACGCGGGACGCGGCCGGGCGGTATTGCCGCGGTCGAAGGTACCGGTGGAGGGGACCGCAGGGGGACGCCGAGAAGGAGGTTGCGCGATCTGTGGCGGGGGATGACCTACTTACGGAACCAGGTCTATGTCGGCCGGAGAAATATTGTCCGCGAGCGTCGCTCGCCGCTTGCCCGTCGTTCGCCTCGCTTCGCTTCGCCTCGCCTCACCTCGCCTCACCTCGCCTCGTCCTCACCTCTTCCTCACCTCTTCCTCACCTCTTCCTCACCTCTTCTCGTCTCCTTTCGTTACGCGTGACGAACACGCGTCTCGTATCCGGCCTCCGCTTCAGGATCCAATTTTTTAATAGCGCGGATGAATTTTGAAAACGTACAATATAAAACCATCAGGCCGCGCTATACATGTATGCAAACGAGAAAGAAAAAAAAGAGCTCTCACAGTATCCCGCCGGCAAGACTGAGAAAGCGACCGGTCCTGCGAGTGACGTAAGACGCATTCCGTGAACGTATATAACATCGGGTAGGAACCGAGTCGTTTTTTTTTTTCCAGCCTCTTCGCGCGTCTCGAAACAAGACGCAGGGGATCTGCTCGCGAGAGACTGCGAGGGAGGGACGAGCGCGCGTGAAGACGAAGCGACCGTTCGCGGAGAGAAGCGACTTTTGCTTTCAAAGTGCAGGACGAGTGAGCCGGCAGGAATATATCGTCAGGTAGAAGCGCGGCCGCGGGTAAGCGTTCGCGGGCACGAGACACGTACAGGCCGCGGCTGGGTCAACAGCAACGCCGTTGGCACTCCCCGAGAGAGACAAGCACCAGCGCCTCACACGCCTGTGTGTGTGTACGGATATGTACGCGCGTACGTGTGTAAGAACGGTGGATGTGCGCGACGCGGAGCGCGGTGGGGAGACCTACTGACCCAGTTCGTTGAGAACATGACGCAGCCGCGACTCGCTCCCTCTCGTTACGTACACCGCGCTCCGTCTCCGTCACCCACCGCCCGCGTCTCGCTCTTCCTCTCTCGTCTACCCGTCGTTCCTCTCCCTCTCTCATCCTCCTTTCGCCCCTCTCCTCTCCCGCCCTCGCCATCATCGTCGTCTCTTTCCCGCGGACCCTGTCCTTATCCCGCCGCCTCGCGCGTTTCGTCTTCCTCCGCCGATGTGCGTGCGTCTTTCTTTCGCCTATTCCCCTCCGCGTCCCTTTACACCGCCTTCGTATCTCTCGTACTGACGTACTCTACTCCAGCGTGGAAAGCCGCGCGATGCCTCTTTCTCTCTTCTGGCCAGTCCCTCCTCCCTCCCCCTCGCCGCCCCGCGCTCACTCTCACTTTCTCTCTTCCTCGCACGCGCCCCCTCCCCCA